GGGCCCCTGGGGGCCTTCCCAGCCCGGTCTCTGAAGCGGTGAAAGGAAACGCTGCCTCGATTTGGTTTCACATTAAAAGGACGCTCACAGTAGTGGCGAGAAAATCAACTGTTTCGGGCATTGGACCCTCTGAAGAGACCGGCGTGGGTGGCGCCCGCTGGTTAAAGGGCCGCCCTGGGTGCCGGGAAGGGGGTCGGGTGGGGAGCGGTGGGTGATGGGGACAGAGCCCCATTGGAGGGCCGCCCTGCCTCCCCTGACCCACGGACCGCGGGCGAGCCATGGCCCGAGTTAGCAATGTCAGAAACAGTGGGTGTTGGTTTGGATCAACTCTAAGACCAGTGAAACCTGCGATTCTGTTAGATGGCCTCTCAGAACAGCCCGTGCCCCCCTCCGGGAGCGGGGACAGCATTTAGGGAACTGAGTCACCCGCCCTGCCTTCCAAGCCGTACCCCATGGAGGACCTGTCAGTGAGACCGGAAAGTAAACGGGATGAATAAGGGCGCTATTTCTTGGTCGCTTTCATGCCCTGAAGCTAAGGGGGAACGTGTGCGTTTTCAAAGCCTTTCTCCTGAAAACATGTGCTGCCGTGAGCCTCGCGCCAGGGCTGCTGAGCGGGGCTGTGCTTTGGAGGACAGTTTTGCAGCCCCTTGGAGCGGCCTGTGGGGAGGGGGGGAGTGAAATATAGCTCACAGCAAACCTAACTAAAGGACCCATATGCTGAGATTTTACAGCAAGGAAATTTAAGAGAAAGGCGATGTAGAAGGGAGAGGACACATCAGTCTGTACATAGCAGTGCTTCAAAACAAAGTCCTTAAAAGGTGTGTCTATTAGAATATTTTTAAAGCATTTAGAAAGCTCAATATGAAGACAATGGTCAGGTAAATTTTAAACTAAATCTAAAGTAAATTGTTTTCTAATACCGAAGTCACTCTCAATTAAGTTATAAACAGACTTTCATTATTAGGTTTTATTCAAATGTTTACATTCCTGTGACTATATTTCACCTATTTATAGTTTTTACCTACTTACTTATAAGTAGTACAAAGATACAAACAAGAAAGTTAAACAAAAATAAAGTTACTCTCTCGTCCATTTTCCCCCTACTCATACTATAAAATTAGTCTGCCATATTTGTAGTGTCAGAACTCTAAAGACAACTGTTTTCAAAAAATTTGGATTCTAACCTTTCCTTCTTTTAGCACAGTGGTTCTCAACCTGTGGGTCGCGACCCCTTCGGGGGTCGAACGACCCTTTCACAGGGGTCGCCTAAGACCATCGGAAAACACATATATAATTACATATTGTTTTGTGATTAATCACTATGCTTTAATTATGTTCAATTTGTAACAATGAAATTGGGGCTCACCACAACATGAGGAACTGTATTAAAGCAGCATTAGGAAGGTTGAGAACCACTGTTTTAGCATAAATATCTATTGCTTAGAATAGTAGAAACCCAAATATTAACTGCATTTCATAGAAAAAAAATGCACATTAAAAAAAAGGTACTTTGAGGAATTCATAGCCAACTGAAACATGAACCATTTCCACCAAAAAATAGCTCAGTTTGTGCCCTACCACATTTAACCCATGTTTAGGCAACATTTATTAAGATATGAAACAATTATTTTTTTATATTTTTTTTTTCTTACTGAAACAGCAGTGTGACAAAGCAGACAAAGTTAAGGGTTTAAAAAGTTTCTGTGATTCAAGGGTAGACAAAGTGACCATTAGAATACTGTCTAATAAAAAAAAATATGGTCACCTGATTTATGACAAAGATAATACTGTAGTACAAAAGGATAAGATAGTAATTTCAAGAATGAGGCCAAGTCATATGGGTTATTCTATGAGATAAAAATGTATGTTAACCCTTACCTCACACCTTAAACAAAAATCAATTCCAGATAGATTGCAGAATTGTGCAAGGAAAAGCAATACATGGTTTTCATGAGAAACTTAGCTTTTTAATAATTTGTTAAAGGTTCTTAATTTCTCTGAGGATAGGAACCTGTTTCTGGTACCTGCAAATCTAAGGGAAATACTACTTGTCATCTGCTAAAAACTTCTGCCTTTACTTCTATCTGCTTTAAGCCCTCCTCCCATTGAAGTATGTCTGGTCTACTTCAAATACCTGCTTCTCTTTGTAAAGCTGTACCTGGTCCCTCTCCCAAGGATATGGCCCCCCTCATCTGTATTACCAAAGATCTGTATGTTATGTATATATCCCTCATGTTGAATCATATTTAAAATTCCCAACTGATGACAATTTTGAAATGTATGCTGTGATGACAGTTGACTGCTAATTACCTTTTGCTAATTATGTTTTAGAGACCATAATTATTCTAATTATATCAGCACTCAGATAATGTTCAATTGTTGATATGAAGAGCAATTGCAAATGAGTTTTTTTTTCTATTTTCCTTTTTTTAAGGAAGAAATGTCTTCTATAAAAAGAAATCCAAAGCAAGAAATAGTTTCTCAATTTCACTATTCAGCTGCAGAAGGAGATATTGCCAGGTTAACAGTAATACTCAGTCATTCTCCATCTCTACTCAATGAAACTTCTGAAAATGGCTGGACTGCTTTAATGTATGCTGCAAGGAATGGGCACCCAGATGTTGTCCAACTTCTACTTGAGAAAGGGTAAACATTTGAGGCTATATCACCTGAAGGATTATATGGTTTAATTTCTGGGTTACATCTTTTCAAAATTTTCTTGTAGCCATTATTTATATCATCGGACATGTAAATAACTCATTGATCAGTTTTGTGATATAAAAATGTAGCATAATTTCTAACTAAAAGCTTGTAACTTTACTGATGAGTTAACTTTTCATTCTTAATAGCAAAGCAAACTTAGGAGTTAATCTAATATTTTTTCCAAAACAGAAAATGTGAATTTACCCACAATGACTACTATTGTAAAATTTTAATATCTCATAGCACATACTGCTTTTTAATTTTATAATTCTCCAGAAAATTGAAATATCCACTATCTATAACTTTTCATCATTTATGATTATTTCTTTTAACCTTCCCACTTGTAAATTATGTAATAAATGAAAAAAATCTATGTAAGCATTAAATAAAGAACTATAATATGCATCTGAAAATATTAAGTAAATACTGAAGAAAACATTTGTTTCCTATTATATTTTTCCTTTTATCTATAGGTGTGACAGATCCATTGTCAACAAATCAAGGCAGACTGCACTGGATATTGCTAAATTTTGGGGTTACAAGCATATAGCTAACTTACTAGCTAATAATAAAGGTGGAAAGAAGCCTTGGTTCCTAACCAATGAAGTAGAAGAATGTGAAAATTATTTTGGCAAAACGCTGTTGGACCGGAAAAGTGAAAAAAGAAATAATTCTGACTGGCTACTAGCTAAAGAAAGCCATCCAGCCACAGTTTATATACTTTTCTCAGATTTAAATCCCTTGGTTACTCTGGGTGGCAACAAAGAAAGTTCCCAACAGCCAGAAGTCAGGCTTTGTCAGCTGAACTACACAGATATAAAGGATTATTTGGCTCAGCCTGAAAAAATCACCTTGATTTTCCTTGGAGTAGAACTTGAAATGAAAAAAGAGTTACTTAATTATACTGGGGAAGTCCCAAGAGAAGAAGAAGATGGGTTGGTTGCCTGGTTTGCTCTAGGTATAGATCCTGTTGCTGCTGAAGAATTTAAGCAAAGACATGAAAATTGTTATTTTCTTCATCCTCCAATGCCAGCTCTTCTGCAATTGAAAGAAAATGAAGCTGGTAAGAAGTGAACACTCTATACTTGTATTAATGATAATCTGGTCTTTGGAACTCTATTGGAGTTGTATGTATCTACAGTTTCTAGGGGCATGCTTTTTTCAGTAAGCAATGAAATTAAGCTATATCTTCATTAGAAACCTTGTAAAGCTCTCACCCTAGGGGACTACTCTCCTGGGCAGTTACAGCAGTCTTAATCAACCAAGACAGATTTCCCCAGAATTAACCCTAAAGCATGATGGTTTCATTTGATTCTTCAGTGAACAGTGAGCACCTGGTGTACAATGAGCATGATGCCAAAGACTTGGACTATTTCGTTTTTTCTGTTGCTGGGTATGCCAGTTCATGTGGGGCCTTTCAAGTCATGATAAGAACCTAGGGATGTTAGTCTGAATTCATTTAAATATTATAACCTGACCTAAACCTATGTTTAAGAAAAGAAAAAAAAAAAAAACTCTCACTTTGGCTGCTTTGTAGATCATGAATTGTAGGCAATTAAGTATGGAAGTCAGGAGTCTTGTTGTGAGGTGATTAGCAATTACTGCATCCCAGGTAAGATATTTGATTGGCTTGGATTAGTAGAGTGGCAGGAGAGAGAGAGAGTTTGAGATACTATGGCGGTAGGACTGATAGGGCTTTATCAGTATGTTGAGACTATTATAAGTGAGAGGGAGATGATAGTAACTTGGACTATGACCTAAATTAAGGTAATAATATTAGAGATGGTGTAAAGGAGGTACATTCAAGATATATTTTTGAGAGAAAATTAACAGTACTTATTGGAATGAGGATAGAGTATATAATAATGAAGGAAAAGATAAGGAACAACTGCTAGGCTTGAGACTTTAATAATTTGGTAAGTAGTGATACTATTTTTTAAATAAAATAATATAGGATGATGAGTAGAACAAGGGAAGCAGGAGAGAGTTAAAGTAAGTAAATCAAGATACTAGTTTTAAGCATGCTAAATTTTAGAGGATATTAGAATCTGGAAAGAGGAGAGGAGAGGCCTGAACTGGTGATACCCATATGGGAGTCATCAACACAAAGATGGTTTTTGAATCCCAGGAAACTACTGAGATTACTTCGAGTTGAGAGCAAGTAAGAAAGAGAATCTCAGAATCATACCTCAATGCCTCTCAATTTAAAGGTCAGGTAGAAAGAGAGGAGCCATCAAAAGTGGAAACCATGAGAGCAGAGTATTTTTTGGAGGTACTGGTCAAATGGATTGAATGCCGTTGAGAATATGAGTAAGACAAAGACAGAGTTTTTGTGTTTTTTTAAAAGATCTTTGATTTGGAGAGAATGAAGGTTTTGGTGACTTTGACAAGAGGAGTATCAGTGGTGTGGAAGGAAAGAAGCTAGATTATGATAGAATGAGGAGTTAATGGGAGGTGATGAAGGGGTCACTTGTCAGTGTTCCCCTTCCCTTAGGTCAGTGGTCAGCAAACTGGCCCCTTGAGTGTGGCTCTTCCACAAAATACCACGTGCGGGCGCGCACGTACAGTGCGATTGAAACTTCGTGGCCCATGCCACGGGGCCAAAGAGTTGCATGTGGCTCGAGAGCCGCGGTTTGCCAACCACTGCCTTAGGTAATGGGGAAGGCCCTTCCAAGGATATGAAAGTTGTAAACAGCATTATTTTTTAAATGTTAGGTGTAAACAGGATAGGTTCCACAGTGACATGGACCAGTAGGGGCTTAGTCAGTCACCAAGGTAGAGATGGGTACCAACAGTTTGTAATATTGCCTTTTTTAGTTCAAGTCCAAGTTAGGAACAGCCTTTGTAATGTATTTTTAGAGAAGTCTCCATTATAAAGTTACTATTTGTAGAGTCACTATACACCTTGTATATCCAAAATTTCAAAATCATCTGTAGTAAAAGTCTGAGCTAATACAGTGTGTAAGATGGATGTTAGTACATCTATCTTATATGAGTTATATTTTCTTAGTTCAAATTAAAGTTAAATCTAATTTTCATTTGTCATATGTAGAATTAAATCTTTTACTTTAAAAAATGTACACATCATCAAAATAGGAGTACTAAACTCTTGATCACACCGCTATTCAGAAGTATATTATGACTTAAGAACATTTATACCAGATGTCTTTATTATGATTCAGGAGTATTTTACTTGTGATTAATTTGTCTATAATTTTTCACAGAATTAAAACTTTTTGTTTTTCTCAAAAAGGAGTTGTAGCTCAAGCAAGATCCGTTCTTGCCTGGCACAGTAGATACAAGTTCTGCCCAACCTGTGGAAGTGCAACTAAAATTGAAGAAGGTGGATATAAAAGAGTATGCTTAAAAGAAGGCTGCCCTAGCCTCCATGGCGTTCACAATACATCATATCCAAGAGTTGGTAAGCCTTTTCTTTTACAGTGAAATCTCAGCCATCTGGAATCTTGAGGAATAAGACATTCTAGAAAGACGAGATTTTCAGTTGCTGAGGGGTTAACCTTTTTGTTAAAAGCATGTTTAATGTAACCATTAAGTCTATAAGTATTAAGTTACTGCATACTTTCATGAATTTTAAGTAAAGGACATTGTACATAATTAGCCATTTCTTAACTCATTGTACATAATTAGCCATTTCTTAACTCTGGGTTACATAATTAGCCATTTCTTAATCAGTATGAATTTGATGTGTTGAGATACACGATTTCAAAAGCCCACCAATCTGGGTCCACTTAGTTGAGAGACACCAAAAAAGAAGCCCCAACAATTTAGTACCTGTTTGAGGCATCACCCAAGCAGTACAGTCTGGAGCTAGCTTCTCATAACTGCTGGTATCTGCCTATACTTTCTCTGCTCCTAATTGCTTTGAGACTGCTGTTGATTTAGAAATCTGATAGCCCAGCCCTATCAAACTGTGAAAAAGAATAGACAGACTAAGTAAGCAACACCTAAAGAGGTCTCCTAGGAGTAAGTAAAGTGCATGGCATAGTGACATCTATTTTACTGCTTGGGAACCTTTTACATCTGATTCCTGGATCTCAGTCATGATATAGAGAGGATAATTCACTACATTAGTGATGTCCAGAGACATGACTGTATTTAATTTATATGTATATGTATTTTTATTAGCTTAAATGTAATCACAGAACTACCTTAGCTTTTAAAAACATTTTATTACGGATTAGGATGGAAGGGAAAGGAAAATCCACTACATTTACTATGGTAAAATTTGAATTTTATTCATGCCATGTATTATCTACTCACACTTTTTTCTTATAAAAAAAATAAGAGCCCTAGCTCGTTTGGCTCAGTGGATAGAGTGTCAGCCTGTGGACTGAAGGGTCCCAAGTTCGATTCCCATCAAGGGTACATGCCTGGGTTGCGGCCTCAATCCCTAGTAGGGGGCATGCAGGAGGCAGTCAATCAATGATTCTCTCTCATCATTGATGTCTCCCTCTCCCTTCCTCTCTGAAATCAATAAAAATATATTTTTTTAAAAAATATGCCTAGCATGCCATAAGTACACAATAAATGTTATTAAAATGAGGACAAAATTGATCTTTTACCTTATTGACAGTATTCTATATAACTTCCCTAAAATACTGTCATTAGGTAGAAAGAAACAATCTCTTGTAACTAGACAAGTCTTGTTCTTACAGTAGATATACCTTTTAATTATCCTACTAGACAGTGACTGTATATACAGAATGAGTGGAAATTATTTTTTCCTGTTATTCATACATCCAATTTTTTTTTAATAGATCCAGTAGTAATCATGCAAGTTATTCATCCAGATGGGACCAAATGTCTTTTAGGCAGGCAGAAAAGATTTCCTCCAGGCATGTTTACTTGCCTTGCTGGATTTATTGAACCTGGTAAGCTTTTTAAAAATAATTTTTGTAATGATTTTTATTTAACATATAATTTCCAAATAAATATTTTAGGCAGCATTTGAGAAATAATCTTTGATAAATTATTGAATAAAATCGTTATGTTTATATATTTTCTTTGTATTTTAAATGATACTTTTGTTTTTACTAATGGAATAATTTTGTGTTTTAAAAATTCAATACTTGCTCTTTCATATATCTTTCATATATTTCTGTTACCCAAGATATCAGCATGATTTACACCTCACTTCCTTCTGTGCTAGACCCAGCTGTCATCTTTTCAAATATGTCTTCCCTGATGGCCCCAAATGCATTCCTTAGCCCCATAGCCTGCATTCACAATTCCTGTTATCCTGCCAGTTTTTTTGCTATAGCACTCATCACCACCTAACATGGTATGTTTGTATGTATGTATTTTTGTATGTATCTATTTGTCTATCTCTATTTATCTGCTTTTACCAGAAAGTAAGTTCCATAAGGGCAGGGACTTTGTTTTATTCATTGGTGTGTCCCAAACCCTTAAAGCAGTGCCTCTTACATAGTAGGAGTTCAATAAATATTTGCAGAATAAATGAATGAATATATCTGTTAATACGTTTAACCTCAAACTTCCAATATTAATCTGCATTACTAGATAATAATAGTAATAAATATATATTAGAGCCACACTCTGTTCCCAAGGCTTTCCGTGTATTAAATCATATGATCCTCAGCAGTTTTATAGATGGAGCACAAAGGCACAGGGACTGAATAACTTGCCCCAAATCAAGCAGGTAGTAAGTGATAGGGCAGGGAGTTAAAACTGGGCAGTTGTCTCTGAGTCCATGATCTTAATCACTCTGCTGCTTCTCATAGCTCTGGATTACTTTTTTCACTGCTGTGTAGTATTCCATTTATGAATATCCTGCAGTTTATTTATTGTGCTGTTGGACAGTTATTTCAAAGCTCTTGCTATTGCAAGCAACACTGCCATTAATATTTTTATACCACTCCTTGTACACATTTGCAAGAGTTATCTAGAGTATATACCTGAGAGTATCATTGTTAGATCGTAGGATATCAGCATCTTAACCTTTGTAGTTATTGCCAAGTTGCTCTCTACAGTGTCCCGGCTAATTTACATTCCTTTTAGCGGTACAAGAAATGTTCGGTTATTCCAAATCTACACCAAATTAGAGTTTTCAAATTTTTAATTTGTCATTCTGGTGGATATGAAATAGTGTGTCACTGTATTTTTCATTTTTATTTCCCTGCTGATGGAGTATCCTTTCCAAATGTATAATAGGCACCCAGTTTTCTTTACTCCTGAGTTGTACATGTTTATGTTGTTTGCCTATTTTTGTTTTGGGTTGTTTATCCTTTTTTCTTATTGATTTTAGGAGTTTTAAAATATGTATTGTATGCTAATCTTTATTTAGTTATGGTCTTGCAAATATCTTATGCTAGTCAATGACTCATCTTTTCACTGTTTTCTGTGAATATAAATTAATTTCAATATAGGAAATGTATTAGTTTAAAAAAAAAGCTATATTTAAATAGCACAATATTTCTAAACTTCCAGATAAACTTAACTTAGAAACCATTCCCTCTATCCTAATTTTCAATTCCAAAAATTCAAAATATAAAGTACATTTATAGGCATCATTTTATTTTATCAAAGCTGACTCAACAGTCATCTAGAGCAGTGATTTTCAGCCTTTTTCATCTCATGGCACACACAGACTAATTACCAAAATTCTGCAGCCCACATAAAATATATTTTTTGCCAATCTGACAAATAAAATATGTATACTCTTGATTGATTTACAAAAGTATAATAGTAGCTACCTATCTTTTTTGCTCCTAAGTGACTTTTTAAAAAATCAGGTGCCTTAATTTGTATATAGTATATAAGGATTTCTGGTACAAAGAATTAACCAATAATGCTGAACCTTATTATGCAATATGACCAATAATATGCACCTCTGTTATATGACTTGTATATTTATTGTTCAAGACAGGGCATTCACATCGGTCAGCTATTGTTGTGTTGGCTGTTGTCATGTTTCACTTGACAGCCTAAGGGAAAAGAGGTCAGTGCCCCTAACTAAATAGTCATGTATTGCACGTTTTAAAAATTCTTGCAGCACACCGGTTGAAAATCGCTGATCTAGAGGAAAATAATAATTTTAAAAGAAAAATGCTGAATTTCACTTACTGTTGTTTTTAAACTTTTAGTGTTATGTGCTTTCTAACTATTTTGAAAACAGTTATCTGTAATAATTGACAGCATAAGAAAAAAGAGTTGGAAGATTTTAGTGAGGAAAAGACTAGCCATTAAAAAATAGTTACAATTTATAACTATTTAGTGATAATATATTAATGAAATAATATATAAAATGTTTACAGTGTTTAGCCAAACGTAGGTGCTAGATAGTTGTATATGTTATTATTTTTTTAATGTAACTAAAAATTTGGACCTTTAAGAAATGAAAAGTTTGTTGGTATTTTGATTTTGTATGTGGTCATAAACTTTAAGAAATAATGTTTTCTTGAACTCCAATCTAGTTTTAGGTTTCTGCTTTCTGATCCTTTGAACTAGGTTTCTGTCCAAAGTGATTTCCAAATGTTTGAACCATCCTAGCACAATATGTCCAGGGCATGTTCATCAGCTACTTGTTCTTTTGCCCCATTTGATTAGGGGAGACAATAGAAGATGCTGTTCGGAGAGAAGTAGAAGAGGAAAGTGGTGTCAAAGTTGGCCATGTTCAGTATGTCTCTTGTCAACCATGGCCAATGCCCTCTTCCTTAATGATCGGTTGCTTAGCTGTGGCAGTGTCTACAGAAATTAAAGTTGACAAGAATGAAATAGAGGATGCCCGCTGGTTCACTAGAGAACAGGTAAAGTTCAATTTAATTTCCTTCTTCTATTGATTGTTCTCTGACTGTATCGGTTTAAGCATGCAGCAAAGATACTTGTTTTCAGCAAGTTGAATGAATGGCTGAGGCCTCTCATCATGCATGGATTACAGTGTAATCAATGTGTCCTATGTTAAGTCATTCTCTGAGATTCTTCTAGTAATGCTGATTCTGTGCCATTTTCTAATCAAATGCCATTCCTTTGGATTAATACCTTTTAATGGACTTAAAATAGGTAACCATTATTTCAGAGATGAAAAACAGGAATATTGTTTTTAGACATTTTGTATTTTAATTTATAGCTTTAAAACAGTTTTCTCTCAAAAAATCTATAATAATCTATAATAATAAAAGCATAATATGCTAATTAGACTGGACATGCTTCCTTCCTGACAAAGCTGCAGCGGGCGGGGGCCGAGGCAGAGACGGCAGAGGCCCCTGGCCACAGTGGCGGGCGGGGCCTCTGCCCGTGTAGGAATATCGTGCATCAGGCCTCTAGTAGTATAAAAAGCTTAAAATCTGTGAAAAATTCTTGTTCAGTTTAAAATATACTTAAGGATAAGAATGAAAAAACTCACAAGAACTTTTTGAAACACCATTAAGTATTATAATGAGAGATAAATTACTTGGCTGTGTTTTGTATAACCCAGAGTATTTGTATAGAAAACAAATGGATATACTTCAGTATTGAACACCTGAAATCCTTCTGACTATGTCTAAATAAAATTGATTTGCTCAACCTCCAAAAGTAGACATTAGAATTTTTTTTCAGAATTTTGTAAAATGGAACCTATTCCAAAAGTTGACTTTACTTTGAAAATAAGTGTGGAGCATATACTTAGCTTTTTCATGACCTTATTTTCTCGAATATTTTAAAAATTGAATCACAAACTCATTGAAGCAACTAAAGATGCTGTACTAAATTTTGCATGGTGAATATAGATGTCAATCACTTTCTACTGTTGTTATTCACTATAAAAGTTCTCACATTTAAGTTGAATTGTATAAGCATAGAAATAATATTTAAGTATGAGAGTGTTGAAATCCTAATACATTTTATTATGTATATTTTAGGTTGTGGATGTTCTGACCAAAGGGAAGCAGCAGGCATTCTTCGTGCCACCAAGCCGAGCGATTGCACATCAGTTAATCAAACACTGGATTGGAATGAACCCCAATCTCTAAATCAATAACTAGACTTTGACTGAGTACTAATTGATTTCTAATACTACTTATTTCATCACATGATATTAGAAATATTCACTGCTCTTTAGAATGTCACAATACAAAATATCATATTGGGTGTCTAAAATATTTTCAAAGTGTACTTTTCATCTTAACCACAGAATTCTTAACTTTATAAATTACAACATTGCCTCAGATTTTGTTAAATCTCGATCATCCTTCTGTAAAGAGTTTTTTTTGGGTTCTTTTGGTTGTGCTCCATAATTTTATCTCACAAAACCATATTTCTAATAAGAGAAACCATGTTGTAAAGAAGTATGTTTTAAAAATGTAAGTAACCTAAACTCTTGTAAGCATTAGACCAGACATTAAAGACCCAACACTGAAATTAAACATATTCTAAAGGAATTCTCAAATATCAGATTTAAATCTCAAATAGATGTGCATCTATATATATAAAACACTAATATGCAAATAGACCGAATGGTGGAATACCAAACAATCAGTCACTATGAAGTGAGCTGTCCACCAGGGGGCGCGCATGGAACATGGTGGGCATCGGCAGCAGGCGGCAGAGCGCAGAACATGGCAGTTGTTGACTGCGATGGGATGGTGGAGCAGGTGAGCCAGACAAGGGTGGGGCGCCAGCTGCTGTCATTGGGGTGAGCCTCTGGTGGTTACTGAAAATTCTTTGTTCCCACACACTGCCCCGATCACTCAGTGCCGTCACTCAGTGCCATCAGCGGGTGCGAGTGGCAGCTGCCGGCCCCGATCGCCCTTCAGGGCTTCTCCACCTCCCCCTGCTCCTGAGGGCCAACCAGAGCCGGCAGCCGCCTCTCACACCTACTGCCGGCACCAGAGCTGCCACTTGCACCCACTGCTGACACCCAGCACCAGTCCCAATTGCTCGGCACCGTCAAAGGGTGCGAGCGGCAGCTGCTGGCCCCAATCACCCCTGAGGGCTTCTCCACCTCCCCCTACTCCTGAGGGGCGATCAGGACAGCAGCTGCCACTCACACCCGCTGATGGCACCAGACCCGCTTGCACCCACTGCTGGCGCCAGCCCCAGTCACTCCCCGCTATCAGCGGGTGCAAGCGGGGCTGGCACCTTCAGTGCATGGGAGCAGCAGCAGCAGGAGCAGGGCTGCTGGCAGATGGGACCAGAGGCCACAGTGGGAGGTGCCGGGCGGGGGCATCGAGGATGGGCCAAGACCCGCCCCTGTGCCCACCGCAGCTTCACGGCCCACAGTTCCTTTCAACGTGCACAAATTCGTGCACCAGGCCTCTAGTATTTAATAAAAACTGACTTTATGTCTTATCTTTTTTGAGAAATTAGACAAAATAATTTTAATGAGTTTTGAGCTTGCTTTTTCAGTCTTCCCATTACCATAAAGTTTCAGTTATCAGTAGCTGACTTTTTCTCATCTTCCCATTGTAATAAATTGTTTTCTCCTGGTTCCATTGTTCTAGCAGTGATACAGTTACAGTGCTGCTACTAGTCTATTTCATCAGTGTTAAGAATTTTCTATTTTGATAACTCTACTAGTGATCAGAATAAGTGAGAGCATACTATTTTATCTGGGACCTCCTCCTTAAATCTAAAATTAATCTATCAATTAATCTGTTCTACTCAAAGTCTTAAGACAAATCAGGACTCTGTGCTTTTTCACTGAAATTAAACATATTTGAAAGGAATATTCCTTAAAGGTCAGATAGCTTTACATATTTTTAAAAAATACTGGCTTTATGGCATTTTCTGATACGGGTTGTATCTGCATTAACAAAAATTGTATAACCATTACTCATTTTATTAAATGCAAATGTAACATTTTTATTTTGGCCTTAAGTCATCACATTCTAAGAAATCTTTGTAAAATAAATATATCTTAGAAATGAATCAGTAAGATTCTAGAGAAAATAAATTATAGTAATTCACAATTTTGCAACATAGAACTATATTTTACAAGGCTGTTTTGAAATTGTCTTAAAAGCTAATGCTTAAATATATAAATTTATATAATTTGGCTCTATAGTATAGTATGTTAGCGCTGGAAGAGAGTTTAAGGATAATATATATAGTTCATTGCCCTTCTTTTATAGATAAGGTAAAAGAAATCCTAAAAAGTGAATTTAATCATTAAAGGTGAATTTAAATAACTTTAATACAATTAATTGTAATTACAATTAAGTAACTTAATTACAACAGTCTATACTGTGTAATCTAGTGCAGGTTTCTGCTCTAATAGGAAGTAGAAACTATTACTAAAAGTATTTGCAGGATGAATCAAAATAACAGGTGATAATAAATTTAGTCTACCAAATATTATTAATTAACATTTTAGATACTAAAATTTATTAACTTAAATAATTTTATTAGATAAAACTTTATTTTACTGATTAAACAATGGTTTTCTTAGTAATTGATGAAGACTTATTGATAGCAGGACTTTGACAAAATTAAGACACAGGACATTTAGGTACATAATAAAATCTGAACTACATTGATACTTAGAAAATAACTTGCCTTGATTATTATGAAGCATAATGACTTAAGGTTCAGTTTTATTTCAAGTGTACTTTTAATACATACAGGTCCCAAGATTACATAAAAAATTTCAGGTTTCCATAATAGGATAGCAAAGTAAAATACAAAGTTATCAACAAAATATAGTTATAAATTTACTTTTGATATTTAATCCTGTACTCAGGGAAAATCAGTATCTAAGTAAATTATTGTTTTAATAATTATTCTTAAATTGCTAACCTCTGAGAGGTGAATAGCTACATTAAGTAGAAGGAATAGCCAAAAAATGGTAGCGGTTCAAGTGCCAAGAATATATTCTACTGGAAATGAATGTAACAATACATTAAAATTTTTATCTATTTTCTGTTTTGTGTGTTATGTGTGGTTTTTAATGTTTTGATGTCTTCTGTAAAATATGGAATAAAACAAATTTTAGTCATTATCTGTTTAATCCTATATAATAAAAGGGTAATATGCAAATTGACCCTAACAGCAGAACAACTGGGAATGACTGGTCACTATGACACACACTGACCACCAGGGGGCAGATGCTCAATGCAGGAGATGCCCCCTGGTGGTCAGTGTGCTCCCACAGAGCCAGCTGCCAGCACAGCGGTGATGGCAGGAGCCTCTCCCGCCTCAGCAGCGCTAAGGATGTCCGACTGCAGCTTCAGCCTGCTCCCCGCTAGCAAGTGGACATCCCTCAAGGGCTCCCGGGCTGCCAGAGGGATGTCTGACTGCCAGCTTAGGCCCAATCCCCCGGGGAGCGGGCCTAAGCCAGCAAGTGGACATCCCCCAAGGGGTCCCAGACTGCGAGAGGGCACAGGCCGGGCTGAGGGACCCCTCAAGGGCACAAATTTTTGTGCACCGGGCCTCTAGTATGTAAATAAAAAGCACAAAAACCTTTTTAAAAGTTATTCTATTGGAAGACTTAAATTTTTTGTTTAAATCTTTTTAATTGTATAAGTTGGGTCATATATATGTATGTATGTCTGACACACACTGACCTACATATACATGTCAATAATTTATCTTCACATTTAAAGTTATGTATTTAGTCTAATGTCTGTTTTATTACTTGTCCAATATTACCAATCTTTGCATTTTGAATTTCTCATTTGTTTATTGTTCAAGGAAGGACTAGAAGAATTAGAAGCCTACATATTTTATTTAGTTGGAAAAATGACTAACTCTTTTAAAGATCAGGTAAGGAATATCAGTAAGGACAGAAAAGAATGGAACAACCGAGGTGAGACCATGAGATGGAAGGAGAAAGTATAAATTTCTTAATAATCTAAATTAACTATCATATGAAAACAGTAGATAGAACTGATCCTTGAACTGTGTTGTTAATGTGTATATAGCAAAATACTAGGGGGAAATGTTCTATAAAACAAATCTATTATTTAGAATAAAATTTCCACAATGCAAATTTTATTAGGGATGAGAGCGTTATTAGGTTCTGAATGTTATATATATACTAAAGGCCGGATGCATGAAATTTGTGCAAGAGTAGACCTTCCTTCCCCCGTCTACTGGCACCAGCTTCCCTCTGACACCCAGGACCCGAAGGTCGCCTGGTCTAATTAGCATATAACGCTTTTATTATTCTACTAGAGGCCTGGTGCATGAAATTCATGCATGGGGGTGGTCCCTTAGCCTGGCCTGCACCCTCTCCAATCTGGGACCACTTGGGGGATGTCCTAATCGACTCTAACCACCTCTGCCTGCCTGCCTGATCACCCCTAACCCCTCTGCTTGCCTGCCTAATCTCCCCTAACCACCTCTGCCTGCCTGATTGCCCCTAACTGCCTCTGCCTCAGCCCCCACACCTGAGACCCAGGCTTTCTCCTCTGGCCAGCCACAGGCACCTGGGAACCAGGCTTCCCTCCCTCTGGCCAGCCACAGGCACCTGGGACTCAGGCCAGCTTCACCCAGGCTGGCCACAGGTGCCCGGGACTGTGGGCGGTTTCGCCCGGGCCTGCTTTGTCAGGAAGGATGTCCAGAAGGTCGTCTGGAAGACGTCTGGTCTAATTAGCATATTACCCTTTCATTAATATAGATATATGCAAATTGACCAAATGGCAGAACCACCAGTCGGTGGAGGGTGGGGCCGGCAAGCAGGCAGCGTCAGGCCAGCCAAGGTGCGTGCCAGCAGGCAGAGGGAGGGGACGGTGATGGGGGGAGGAGGTGGCAGTGACCAGCAGCGGCGGAGGGGCAATGGGGGGGCGGGGCCACGCTGGCCAGCACCATCCCCTGATGGGCCACCCAGTTGCCTCCCACAGAGGGAAGCCAGCAGCGGGAGCTGTGGTGGGGTGATGGGAGTGGTGCCTTCCCCTGATCAGTCCAGTCACCTCCCACAGAGGGAGACCAGCAGCGGCAGCAGCGGTGGGGTGATGGGGGCGGCGCTGTCCCCTGATTGACCTACCTGGTTGCCTCCCACAGAGGCCAGACTGCAGCTTAGGCCCACTCCCTACAGCATTCCCTGAGGGCTACCAAACTGTGAGAGGGCGCAGGCTGGGCTGAGGGACCTCCCCACCGCCACCCCTAGTGCACGAATTTTTGTGCACCAGGCCTCTAGTTATAGATATATGTGCATGTATGTGAGGCATGAGTGGGGTGGGCATTGAGTGAAATTTGTGTGTGTGCTACACTTAAAAGGGCCAGTTTTCTTTAGTAGAAAACTAGGAAAAAGTAAATTCAAGTCCAAAATTAAGAGTATCTATCTACAAATGTAAAAGATCTAGATTGTGAGACACTTACAAAGGGGTGGAGAGTTTGACTTCAGTGCAGATGGAAAAGGGTGCTCGATAAGGGGGCCAAATGCTTGGGAGCTTTGACACCACAGTGGTAGATGAGAGACAGACACACAGTATATTTTGAGAACTATTTTGAGGAGACAAATAATGTTGCCAAGAGCCTCCATCTTCAAAAAGAGTCTCATTGGTCAGGAGACAACTGGAAAGGAATTGTTTGTGAAAATAATTTTCAAATAATTCAATTTATTTGCCCAAAGTAGAAATGGTCAAAGTTAATCAAGATGGCATGGGAGGAAATGGGTAATTAGAAGCCTGAGTTATTGTTTGAGGAAAAAAACTCTCAACTATAAAATGAATACTTGCATCTATTAATGGGGCAGGCAAGTTCCTCATTCTATTTTCACTGAAGGATATGCACATGTAATTGCACTCGGTGGAAGCAGCACTTTTCACTTCTCTGTATTCCTTCAGAAATACTCGTTTCTCTTTTGCTGTTAAGCAGACAGCACCTAGCATTGGACA